TCATCATCATCATCATCATCATCATCATCATCATCATCATCATCATCATCATCATCATCATCATCATCATCATCAAGACGTTCTCGCCCGCGAAACTCCTGCGCTCACTGATTGTCTTGTGCATTTCACACCATTTTCCGTAAATTCTAGAGACTGTTGTGTGTGAAAAATCCATGAAATCAGTTTCTGAGATACTCAGTCTACCCCGTCTGGCACCAAAAATCATTTCACCGTCAAAGTCACTTAGATCACATTTCTTCCCCATTGTTTTTCGGTCTGAACAACAACTAAACCTCTTGACCATGTCTGCATGCTTTCAAGCATTAAGATGCTGCTATGTGATTGGCTGATTAGATAATTACATTAACGAGGAAGTGTACAAGTGTACCTGATAAAGTTATCACTGATTGTAGGTCCCTTTGCTACAAATGCTCTCCTTGGGTGATTTTTAGTGCGGTAAACAAGTACGTGTTTCCGGCTACGCATCAAATAGCTATTACATCTGTTGGAGATATAGGGTTATAGCTTTCAACTACTGTTGTTAATATAGTTAGAAATCACCTGCCGGGAGAAGTAGTGCTTGGGTGATAGCGAATCTACGCTAGATAACATCTGGAAACGTCGCCAGGCAATATCAACTGGTAACATGACTCAGAGCCATTTTATACCAGAGATTCTTGTGGCAGATCTAAACCTGGAAGACACACGAAGACACCCTCCGTGGTCCTACCCGAGAATAACAAGGTAAATTGTACTACTGCTGTTGTACTCAATCTAATTAAGGAAGGTGAAGTCGGTTCACTATGAGCAGGTGAAGGAACAGATACGAGGCCTCAGTATACATACTTCTAACAGGCATAAATTACATTGTATTCTCCATACTACTCAGACAGGAACCCAGACTACAGATATGGACAGATATGATTGGGAACTACAAGCCTGAAGAAGGTGGATGCGAAGGAATGGTCTCGAAGTGCTTTATGCAATGTAAGGCAGTTGGGGTGTCGGGACTAATCAGAAGTGCAGTATATTCTTCGGCTAAAGCAGTATATTTGAAGTCAAAGAGCTCCGAATGTCATCTCTGCAAACGAAAAGTGTCCTACCCGGGTTATGTAGTCTGGAGAGGAAGAGAGACAGACCCAACAAAGATAAATATCATACAACATTGGTGGGTTTCTCAAACAGTTCGTGAGTTGAAGTTTTTCTAGGATTTACCTTGTTTAAACAATTTCGTACCAGGATTTGCCAACATTCTTGCCCCACTAATATCTTCGGGAGCAACGCACCGTGAACCAGAAACTAGTGACGACTCTAGTTCTCAAGTGTGCAGATTACACTAAGCCAGATGTTTTAGGCACTCAAAAGTTTTACTTTATACTGATTTAATCTAGGATACTTTAAAGAAAGCCGAAGAGCGTTATTCCCTCCTCCTTCCATGTTAATTAGTACAAAACATTTCACCTGTAGGATGCCCCGAGTTATCGTTACTACAGACATAATATGCAAACAAGACGATTACAACTTCGGGAGTACCAACTCAGGGCCTCTTACGAGTGAAATACCCTGTATTTCCTTTTTCAATTTAGAAAGCGTATTCCGAGGCAGGTCCGTGAGAACGATAATCCCCTGAACCATTAACAGTTAATAGATCTAAGATCTATTAACAGATTTAACACCCACCTGTATAATGTCTTTATAAGTAGCTTAGTTCTGCTCTAAAGGTTACTCATAATTATGTTTCATCCTTGGTGTACGTAAATAAATTGTAACTTTAACTTATCACCTATGTGTACCTACCGTAAATACACATTCACCTATTATTATTTAGTCATGTTCTAGAAAAATATATAGTTTACCATAAAATTATTTTCGCTTTCGTTTTTTAACCTGTCATTTACAGTTTCTTTTGTTGTCTTGAGGGATGGCTTATTTATTCCTAGATGAGGCCTAGTTGGCAGTTGGTAAGTAATTATTGGATGACACCTGGGTGGTATAATTTGTGGATGACATCAGGTGGAATAATTGGTGGATGGCACCTGAAAGGTAATTGTTGAATAATGCCTAGGTAGTTACTGGTAGATGATGCCTGAATGGGATTTGGTAAATGATGATGATAATAATAATAATAATAATAATAATAATAATAATAATAATAATAATTTCTACAAGTATATGTACAAGGTATACAAGCCTAGCTAACATCAATGACATATACAGAAAGTCTCTTGTTATGTAGAGCATTTCGGGCAAATTAGGTTAATTTTGTCCCAGGATGCGACCCAGGGTTCATTACCTTTGTACCTAGTTCATCTATCAAAACTTTGGGGGCCCAGTCCCTGGACCCATTATGTACCTCAGTAATCTGTAAATACTTTTGTAACTTGTCATGATTGTGACCAGATCTACCTGGAGTCATTACCTTTGTAACTTGCTCAGCTATCAAAACTTTGGGGTCCAGTCCCTGCACCATTATGTAACTCTGTAATCTTTTGACTACCGCCCACAGGATGGGTATGGGGTGCATAATAAACATATTAAACTAAACCCAGTGGAAGTAAGTCACTTTGACTTTTTTTTTTGGGGGGGGGGAGGGATTTATCCTAGGATCTCTACACACATGCTGCTATGTATGATAATCTATGTAACAGTGTTAGTGTATACCCGAATAAATTTACTTACCACACAAGTCGATTAATTAACACCCACGTACCTATTTTACTGATGGGTGAACATGGACAGCAGGTGCTTTATGGAAACGCCTGCTGTCTATGTTCACCTGAATGGGATTTGGTGGATGATGCCTGTGTGGCATTTGGTGGATGATGCCTGTGTGGGATCTGGTGGATAATCCCTGTGTGAATTATTATTATGTGAGTAAATTACCTGCACGAGGCTTACAGGATATTACCTGAATTATTACGTGCAAGTAGTTGGGTGAGATAAGTGGGACTTAAGTCACAATAGATCGCAGGACTGTACCTCCCTCGATATCCAATTTCTCACCACTCGCACAAATAGCTAGACCTAATATTAAATTAATAATTACAATATTAAATATTAATGCCAATAATGGTAAATTATAAAATGTGGACTGTATATGATTATGCTTGCTGGGTGCACAGAATATAATTATTGGACATAAATTACAATAGTTATTAGAAAGGAAATTCGTATTATCATTTACCATTAAATTACTGTAGATGATCACACATCCCCTGACACTACTCCCACGAGCCCTTTTTGGGCGGGAAGGTGCCAGAGCCAGAGCTTGCTACCACCTACAGCTCACAAGACTGTCATTCCCACGAGCCCCCCTGGGGAAGGGAAGATGGCAGACCAGAGGTCTAGCTTCTCCCCATGAGCCCCGTGAGGGCGGGGAATGGGGCTAGGCCTGGGGACAGTTGGTCCAAGAAGATAGGGACGTACTTGTACCTCCTCCCATGACAGACATAGGTCTCACACTCCCAAGACAGGGTCACCATCTGGAAAAGGCCTTGGCCGGGAGAGTACCGGCGAATCAAGAAGAAGATGGATCACACCACAACACCTTCCTGACACCTAGCCCCTACACTGGCCAGCTAGAGATCTAAATGCAAGGACTAATTGTGCACTTCCCTGTGAGTGACGATTGTATCCCTTACTTTCCTCCATTCACACTTATTAATTAAGGTCCCGCAAATTTCCCATCCCAATTGTTCAGCAGGGGACATTAACACGTGTCCCTATTACAAATTCAGGCCGAAACACCCCAGCTTGTCCTCGTAGACGCCGGATTATTAGCAAAATTTTCCGCAACAACTAGTGCTCGCAAATTACAAAAGGCGTCTCCCCTACGTCACTCACCCTGCTGTTCCCCATCCCCCTCACTCGAAATTTATCCAAGGGTTAAATCAGCATCACATTTTAATATACAGTTATTATATAATTCAAATTTATATATTCTGAATTTAGGAAAATTCAAAGATTTCCACGGACTGTGTGGGATTTGGTGGATGATGTCTGAGTGTGATTTGGTGGATGATGCTCAAGTAGGATTTGGTGGATGATACCCGAGTGGGATTTGATGGATTCAATTCAATTCAATTCAATTCAAAGTTTATTCTCTATAAGGATTACAATGCTGAGTTTACAGAAATTTGGTTATTGTGTGGTTTACATGTAGTAAAACTGTGATTACAGAGTGTACCACTAGAACGCTTAGCATGGCTAGGCATTTCGGGCATACTTAGTTTTATTCTTAATTGTAAAATATTACAAATTATGAGGTAAGTTGGTATTATGGCTAAGTGACTAAATACTAGTTTGTGAGTTTAGCAATGTAAATGCTTTTGTTTTGGCACAGTACATAGTTTCAGTATTGGAGTATCACAGGATTCATTATTTTAAGATTGAGATTAATATTTCTGTTTATGGTCAAATGAGTGAGTGAGTGTAAGTGTGAACCACCAGGTGGTATTCGTGTAGTTAGTTGACGGGGTGTATCAGGGAGATAAGATGTTTTCTAATGGTAGTTTTGAAGGTGATGAATGTGTCTGCAGTTCTCGAGTTCTCAGGTAGGGTATTCCAGATGATGATGCCTGGATGATGCCTGAGTGTGATTTGGTGGATGATGCCCGAGTGTGATTTGGTGGATGATGCCCGAGTGGGATTTGGTGGATGATGCCCGAGTGGGATTTGGCGGATGATGCCCGAGTGGGATTTGGCGGATGATGCCCGAGTGGGATTTGGCGGATGATGCCTGAGTGGGATAATGCTAGGGTGGCGACAAGAATTTGTGGATTATACCCTTCTGATTGGTAGACTAGGGCTCACGCACACACCTCCCCACCCACCAATCACACTGCAGCATCACTTACTAGGTACCCGGCTTCTTTGCCGTCTGCCAAATCTCAATAATTATAGCATGGAATAGTTACTTTCCCAATAAATATCCACTCCTGTGCCTCAGTATATGATAATTTTTATTTAATCCTTGTCTGCTTGCGACAGTGTAAGTTAAATTGGTGAGTAAGCTGAATAAATTTGGCTAAAAAAATGAAGATGTGGCTCTGAGATGTTTACTCTGGGACTGATCAGCTGGTGTCTGGGATACACTTTGAGCTGGTTGTTACAATGGCGGTGACACTTATTCTACGCTCTTTTAAGGTATAAACTGTAATTTTAGTAATTTTGTTGTATGGTAGTTAGGGATTCCACTTTTGTTGATATATTTGCCCTGTGACATGTGTTTGGTAAATGCCAGTGGCAAGTGTCGCCGAGTTATACTGTGCATTTATTGTGTTAATTTTGTTGTATCATGATGATACACTTAATATATCAAATTTATTTTTTTGTTTAGCAATTGCAGGTAAACTTAACAGTGCCAGTTATTCACACAAAATAATTAGCTGGTAATGCCGGAATATTATAGTAACCCAAACGTTATATTACATATTTTATTGCATATGTTGCATGTTCTCCCCTGTCTTGCCCCTCAAGGAAGGTTCCTTGATGTTGGTGAGGGGCTCTTGATTTAGGGAATTGGATCTGTGCTCCAGTTCCCCGAATTAAGCCTGAATGCCTTCCACATCCCCCCCCCCCCCCAGGCGCTGTATAATCCTCCGGGTTTAGCGCTTCCCCCTTGATTATAATAATAATCCCCTGTCTTGCATGTTATTGACTACCAGAATTATTATGTTTAATTGGTATATTTGTAGTTCCACTATAAAAGTAACGCCAGCCTTGTTGGAAGGAATATTTCAGGCTGCCTTAGATACTGAACCCATGGTACAGTGCTGGACGATATTTTAATTGCACTGTCAAAGTCTTTCAGCTCAGACTAGACCCTAGTACCTCAAATGGAAACCCATTCTGTGTGGTATTAGCTCGTGGGTCAGTGGTAGCCCTTTCGGTTCACAAGTGAAAGACCTGTGTTTAATCCTGGGGCAGGTGGACATGCTGGGCAAGTTTTCCTTAGAAGTAAAAGAAATCCAGAAATGAAGATTGCAGTGAAAGACCAGCAGTGCCAATAGACATCACTGAGCCAACAGAACAAGAGTGATCACACACTACATCTTGTGCAGTCATGGAAAGGAAAAGAAATCTAAACTATACATATCCAGAAGAAATATACTTGCAAATGTTGCTCCAGTTCACCTAGCAGTAAATAGGTATATACCTATATGTATAGCCAACTAATGTACCACAGTTGGCTTTCTTGAGTTATTTTAATTTAGCATCCCTGTGGGTTAATAATATACCATAGTTCTTGCTCTAACCTTGTAAAATGGCATATAAGTCAGGGTGAATGAATAATGTAGTGTAACCTTTTTTGTGATTAATCCCTCAGATTCAGATCCTGGCTTTGCCCCTGCATATCTGCTGCCAATTCTTTGACATTCCAACTTAAATCTTTCTACAATAGGGTGAAGTTTGGGCCATTCTGTACATGTGCAATGAGATCTTACAACTGCTTATTTCTTTTAAGTAAAGCAATTTTGCATTGGTTCAGTTCTTCATTGTTATGGATGATTTAAAACTGGCTATTGTTTTGTTTTATATTAATATTCTTGATTTTCAGATTACTCCAAGATTTAGTTTATGCAGGCACTCTAGTACTGCTGCACCGGCCACGAAACTCTTCATCAATGGCCAGTTTATCAACAGTAAAACTAAAGACTTTATCGATGTTCATAATCCAGCAACCAATGAAGTGAGTACAGTATTATTTTTGAGTTTTAATCTGTAAAAAATATTTAAATCATAATTCATGCCTTATGGTTTTATTGGTCTGCCTGCAAAAGCTGACTGTGCCAAAGTTTATTTTTAGTTTTCTTTTTAAAGACAAGATCTATCAACATTTCTGCATTGTAGTCCCCCAGTTTTGTCATTATTTTGCTCTGTTATTACTCTTGACAGTTTCACTATAATTGCCTATTTGTAGCAACAGGAACAGATCTATGCTTATTCTGACTTGTCATCACTATATAATTATTTCCTCAAGAGTAACTGTGTGCTACATTCCTACCATATCTTATATATGTATGTAAATTTATTCTGGCTGGAATTTAATTTTCACCCAAAATTTTTTGATAATTTTTATGAGCAATGCTAGGTATATTACTGTGTATAATTTATGTAACAAATTTCTCTTACAATTATCAGTAGATTGAGCTGAAACTTTGCATTTCTTTTAAGCATGGTGGATGTCCATGTGTGAATTATATGGAAGGCTCAAGCACATGCACTGGTTTAACAGTGACAACTTTAATGCTGGAATGAGAACATGCTGGTGATACTTACAGCACAAATTGTTGCATAAGTATCAATCACATTTAAAAGGCTCTTTTCAAAAAGCTCTGTTCACAGCTCCTTAAATGTAACTCACTAAAGACAGCAGGTTCATTTACAATTCACCTTACACATGTAAATTCATGATGGTCTGCAATAGCCTAGTCTCAGTGCTGTCTGAGTTACACAACATTTTCTAATTACTAAGTATCAGTCACAGTCTCTGCGAAGAAATACATCACGTTAGAGGTAGAATGATAATGTAAAAGTAATTAAAAGATTAAACCAAGATTTAGGCTATAAGAATAATTCATGTGAGAAAATGGTGAGCAGGATGCAGCATAGGACACTGTTATTAATGAGATTACCTTTTATTAGTAACAATTAAGAAAAAATTGGTATATGGATTGCATTTATATACTGTATGTTCTCTTCAAAGGTTGTGACCCGGGTACCCAAAACAACTCAGAATGAGATGCAGGCTGCTGTTGATGCTGCCAAGACAGCTTTTAAGACTTGGTCGGAAACTTCTGTCTTAACCCGCCAGCAAGTCATGCTCAAGTATCAACAAATCCTTAAAGATAATATTGTAAGTGAAAATACAGAGCTTTTCAATGGATTATACTGAGTTGACAGTGGCTTCTTTGTTGAGTTAACTATGTGCTGAGTTAACTATGTACTGAATTAAATACAGGTTCTGTTTCTAATGAAAAATAGTAAATCCATTATGTTTTAATACACTATCACCAATGCAGATACTTTGCACTATTTCACAAGATGAAATATATTTAATTTAGGTTAAAGAGTAAAATTAAATTATTGAGTGTGTAAAGCATATTAAAGTGAGCATGCATTAAGACACAAAACTGTGTCAGCTCTTTAACCTTTAAAGCTTTTGTTTATGGTGATAATTATAAATTATTTTAATTTTGAGCACAGCCATCTCTCACCTAGGTAGGGTGAACCAAAACAGAAAAAAGACTTTCACCATCACTCACAATGGCAAGATGATGATAATGAGTCATAGTGAAAGTGTTTCTTTTTTTGGGCCACCTTACCATGGTGGGAAATAGCTGGTGTTAAAAAGTTATAAATAAAAAAAATATAAATGCGGTACAGTACCGATTTTCCTGCATCCTTGGTTCCTAGGCCTTGCCGGAATATTGATTTTGTCAGAATATCAATTTTGCTGGACCAACAAAGGTGGGAAATAGCTGGTGTTAAAAAGTTATAAATAAAAAAATTATAAATGCGGTACAATACCGATTTTCCTGCATCCTTGGTTCCTAGGCCTTGCCGGAATATCGATTTTGTCAGAATATCGATTTTGCTGGACCAACAAAGATCACATAATAAGAATTCAACACTACACCTCTGATCCACCATGGACTGCTAGAAACTTCAATAAATGAAACAGGTTTATTAATACAACTCTAAAAGAATATTGCAGAACTGCCACTCCCAAGGAGATAAATTTTAAAATTTTACTGGAACTGTAGGGTTGAGAGCTGTCAGGATTATTGTCTATTTCATACTGACTGTTTTATCATGAATTTTTGATGTTACAGGGAGGATATCCAAAGTACTTGAAGTTGAAGTCATAGGATTTTCAGATGTAGGCCTGGTGCTGTAACGCACATTCTTCTTGGCTATTTTTATTTAAATTTCATGAAAGCAGATTTGTTTCACGTGCTTTAATCCTTCCCTGTGTAAATTTTCATGAATCAAATAAAAATTGCTTAGCTCTTGTTCTGTCACAAAGGAATGTTCTAGCACTTTGATTAACATGTAAATAGGTATGGCTATTAACAAGTTAATTTTGTAGTTATTAAACCTAGCCATAGCTAGGGTTAATTTTTAGCAGAATACACTAAGAATTTCACAGATTCAATATTTTTTCAGACTAAAATAGGTGCCAGTCTTTCTGTTGCCAAAAAATCAGTGTTGTACCTGTAATAATCATAATTTTTTCCAAGAAGGTATATAAGTATTCCAAAGGTGAGGCAAGTTCACAGTTATACAAAACAGTCCACTAAATGTATCTTTGATGACTTGATTCATAATATTTATTTCTTTACAGGTGAACATATTTATTTATTGTTGATAGTTCATTGATCAGAGGAATAAATAAAAACTATTATACAGTGGACCCCCGCTTAATGATCACCTCTCAATGCGACTAATTATGTAAGTGTATTTATGTAAGTGCGTTTGTACGTGTATGTTTGGGGGTCTGAAATGGACTAATCTACTTCACAATATTCCTTATGGGAACAAATTCGGTCAGTACTGGCACCTGAACATACTTCTGGAATGAAAAAATATCGTTAACCGGGGGTCCACTGTACTATTACTGTTAATTATTTGTCTAAAATGAGGAATTGAACTTGGCTGTCTTGGCTTCTTCCCTGTTTTTTTTTTTTTCTCCAATTAAAGGTATACTAATGTCATAAAATTTCTTACAGCACGACCTAGCCAAGGTCATCACATTGGAGCAGGGTAAAACCCTCATTGATGCAGAGGGTGACGTAATGAGAGGCCTACGTAAGTAGTACAACTATTAGCAAACTTTTGTTTTGCATTAGCCAAAGTAGATTCTAAGTTCATTTATTAACTTCCTTCCAAAATGTTTTCATTAATTTTTGTTTTGTTACCTCAAAAGCCATCTCGCATCTCCCTATAATTCTACAAAAACTACACTTCTTGCAAGCTATTTCATTGTGGCAGTTGTATTTGTCTGTCTTGGCACTCACCACTAACCTAGGGCAGAAAAAACAAAAATTACTCCAGATTAAACATAATTCGAAGGTAAGGGGTTTTGTTTATTATATATGGCATGACTGTGGTTAATGGAATGTATAAATACTGTACAGTTTACCCCCAGTTTTCATCTGGTGCAGAAATCATACAATTTGAATATCAAGTGCTTTTTTCAGCGAAATTTTCCCCCGGGTTTCGTACATCCGCTCTGAAATCATCCGTGTCAGATGCATCCACCCACCCTGGATGCCGCTTCTCAGGCGTACCAGACTCGGTCTGCCTCTTTCTCTCATTGAGTTAGCAATGCTCCGTGCATTCATTCATTGTTTATTGATTGCGACTGTGAAATTAGCCACCATGGGGCCAAAGAAAGTTCAGAGTCCCAGCCCTTTGGTAAAGAAGGTGAGAAACACGATAGAATTCAAGAAAGAACTTGTAGAATGAATTGCAAAGTTTTGTTAAGAAATATCACTACCACCCTCTACAAAGGTAGAGGGTGGTAGTGATTGTGGTAGAGTGTGGTAGTGATGGTGGTAGAGAGTGTTACTAATGGTGGTAGAGGGTGGTAGTGATGGTGGTAGAGAGTAGTAGTGGTTGTGATGGTGGTAGAGGGTGGTAGTGATGGTGGTAGAGGGTGGTAGTGATGGTGGTAGAGGGTGGTAATGATGGCAAACTATTGAAGATGTTGAGAAGTTGTTGTCGGTGTGGATCAACAAAAAACAGTTAGCGGGAGATACTGTTGTGATGGCGATAATTTGCGAAAAGGCAAGGCAGTTGCATGTGGATCTCGTAAAGAATTTGCCAACAAGAGTCTTCAGTAAAGGTAAAACTGATTTATATGTTCATTTATCCATTAAAATTAGTGCTTTATATTTATTTCTCATTGTTTTCTGTGTGTAAAACTATAGTTGTTCTCTATAAAATGTATTTTTTGTTAATATTTTTGGGTGTCTGGAATGGATTAATTGGATTTACATTATTTCTTATGGGAAATATTACTTCGATTTTCATCCATTTCGGATTTCAGCCAACCTGGAACGGATAAAGGACGAAAACCCGGGTATTACTGTATATGTATCACAGGCTGTTATAACATTTATGTGTACCCAGAATATCTCCCCAAAAATTAATAGCAAACATCTAACCAGTTTTCTTAAGTAAAAGCACTCCCTATTTAACCCTTTCAGGGTTGGTGCCGTACTAGTACGCATAAATTCTAGCGCCTTCAAATCTGGCGAGAGAAAGCTGGTAGGCCTACATATGAACGAATGGGTCTATGTGGTCAGTGTGCGCAGTATAAAAAAAAATCCTGCCGCACATAGTGCATAATGAGAAAAAAAAAAAACTGACCGTGTTTTGGGTTTAAAACAGCGAATTTGCAGTATATTTTCGTATGCTATTTATGGTTGTATTCTAGTTTTCTTGGTCTCATTTTATAGAATGGAAGACATATTACAGAAATTGAGATGATTTTGATTGATTTCACAATGAAAAGTACCTTGAAATTGAGCTCAGAGTAGCAGAAATGTTCGATTTTTGCCAAAGTTCAAAGGTAAATAAATCATGCCATGCGTCCAATACACATCAACTGGTGAGTCTAATATTCTTTCACAAGTGCGCTGATATTATTTATACCATTTCTACACCATTTCTACATTAATGCAGTAGTCTGCATAACATGACTCTTCTATTTTTTATGAGAATAAAAATTCAAAGTGGAAAGCAAAAGAAATGTAACAGAGGCCTGGGGACATGAGTAATGAACAGAGGAAATGTTATTTTAGTGCCAGGAATGTCTGTCTTGTTTATTCTGGACCCTATTTGGAAATTGGCATCTTTTGAAATTTGTGTGAAATTGGCAAAATTGCCAATTTCTGACCACTTTATTGGATAGTTGAAATTGGTAAATGGGTGGTTTCTTGCACTCATTCAATAGAAAAAATGGAGTTCTAGCGAAATAGTATGATTTTTGTCGACTGGTACATGGGAATTGGCCGAAAATGGGTCTCAAAGTGGGCGAAATCACCAATGAGTAAACATCGTCGAGACTGCTAACTTCGTGAGAGCATAATTCCGTAAGTTTTCCATCAAATATCATGCTCTTGGTTTCATTATAATCGGGAAAAGATTCTCTGTCATTTCATAAGAAAAAATAAATATTATAACCAGTATATTTGGTGGCTCTTGCAGAGCGGGTTTCAATGATAAGTCTGCGGAGGCTTCTTACTTTATTTGCAAAGTCATGGTGGTAACACAGGCTTGTGTGTTAAGTGCCCATGGCCCGGGAGGGCCATGCCCACGAGGGAGAGAGGAGTAGGCCTGTTGTCTGAGTCGAGGCTGCTGAGTGAGTGAGAGCGAGTGGGACCAGCGTCCCACTGACCTGGACAGGCCTAGAGAGGGCAGCACCTGAGTGCCGTGAAATATGAACTAAGCTGGCAGACAGCATAGGCTGTCTGTGCAGACAGTACAGGCTGTTTACAATATTTTTTTTGTTTTATTTTTGAAAAATTTCCGACCCTGAGAACAAGTTTAGGAGAGGGCCTGCTGACACTGAAAAGGTTAATATACACATTCTTGTGAGCAAGATCATACAGGTCTGCCATCACAAATCCAGCAATCAGACATCCGGTTCCATCAGTTATATGGCACTAATTTCGGCTAGCATAATTTCAAATTTCCAGGGTCCCCACACCAACCTACTGGTACTGTTTGATGGTGCTACTTGATGCAAAAGTCATTCCAATTTCTTTTCATCCATTTACATTTATAACCTGCTTACTTTTAGCCCTAGCCATGGTTCCAATGAATAAAAGAAATGTTTCTCGTTGTGTAAAGCACATACACAGTACATTGTTCATAAAAGGTAAGGTGGCTTTAGAGCCACTGTCAGTTGCCATGAGCTCAGTCTCGTGATGCAGGGGAATATGCTTTATTATTATGCTAATATCAACACTATGGCTTATTTGCCTATCACAATTGATCTACTATGACATAATAAACAATATAAATATCATAAAAACATAAATAACAAAAAAAGGCACAATACCGTGACTGGAACGATACACAAATAACCCGCACATAGAAGAGAGGAGCTTACGCCGATGTTTTGGTCCGACTTGGACCATTTACAAAGTCACACTGTGACTTTGTAAATGGTCCAAGGGATGCTGGGGTGGATCAGCAATCCACACACAACACACACATACATCGCCAAGGGTGACTGCCTCTTATTCTTTGCATTGAAAACTTCTGATGGGTTAAAAAATCTTAGTTGTGGAACTAATTTTGTTTTTAATGATCGTTTCTACTGTTCTGTTTTCTGGTCTTTCACTAGTTTAATTCTGTATTGTAAATACACATACTGCATTTATGGATTTAGAAAAGGCATATGATAGTGGATAGGGGAGCAATGTGGCAGATGTTGCAAGTTTTTTTTTTTTTCAACAAGTTGGCTGTCTCCCTCTGAGGCAGGGTAACCCAAAAAGAAAGAAAATCCCCAAAAAGAAAATACTTTCATCACCATTCAGCACTTTCACCTCACTCACACATAATCACTGTTTTTGCAGAGGTGCCCAGAATACAACAGTTTAGAAGTACAGTATATACGTATAAAAAATACACAATATATCCCTCCAAACTGCCAATATCCCAAACCCCTCCTTTAGAGTGCAGGAATTGTACTTCCCATTTCCAGGACTCAAGTCCGGTTATATAAAATAACCAGTTTCCCTTTTTTATTTTTTTTTTCAACAAGTCGGCCGTCTCCCACCCTGCTCACACTCCAACAGCTCGTCAGGTACTGCAAGTACAGTTACTAAATGCTGTAGAGTTTTTTTGAGGATAGTTAGTTTCAGGTCAGGGTGTATAGGAGAGGAGATTACTTCCCGATAAAAGTAGGTCTTAGACTGGGACGTGTAATGTCACCATGGGTGTTAAATATATTTATAGATGGGTTGTAAAAGAAGTAAATGCTTGGGTGTTGGGGAGAGGGGTGGGATTAAATTATGGGGAATCAAATACAAAATGGGAGTTGACAGTTACTACTTTTTGCTGATGATACTTGCTTATGTGAGATTCTAAAGAAAAGTTGCAAAGGACGAGTTTGGGAGGGTGTGTAAAGGTAGAAAGTTGAAAGTGAACATAGATAAGAGTAAGGTGATGAGGATATCGAATGATTTAGATAAAGAAAAATTGGATATCACATTGGAGGGAGGGAGTATGGAAGAAGTAAATATTTTCAGATATTTGGGAGCTGATTTGTCAGTGGATGGGTTTATGAAGGATGAGGTTAACCATAGAATTGATGAAGGAAAAAAGGTGAGTGGTGCATTGAGGTATCTGTGGAGACAAAAAATGTTATCTATGAAGGCAAAGAAGGGAATGTATGAAAGTATAGTGGTACCAAAAGTCTTATATGAGCGTGAAGCTTGGGTTGTAAATGCTGCAGCGAGGAGGCGGCTGGAGGCACTGGAGATGTCCTGTCTAAGAGCAATGTGTGGTGTAAGTACACCTACCATCTGACTTACGACCGAGTTCGGTTCCGAGAAACCGGTCGTAAGTCGAAATGGTCATAAGTCGAACTTTACTACTGAATATCAACAAAACATTTTTGTAATGACTTTATTTTGTTTTATTTTGGTATTTCATGTTTTACTTTACTTTTTATGCTGTAAGTACTGTATTTTATACTGTAAGGTTTAGGATAAGCACTGTGTACAACACAAATAGTTGTTTATTTCCCAGAAATTTGGCATAAAAAACACGGTCGTAAGTCGAGTGGTCGTAAGTCGAGCAGGTCGTAAATCGGATGGTAGGTGTATTATGCAGAGAATTTGGAGTGTGGAAATTAGGATGAGGTGTGGAGTTACTAAAAGTATTGGTCAGAGGGCTGAAGAGGGGTTGTTGAGGTGGTTTGGTCATTTACAAAGAATGGATCAGAGTAGAATGACTTGGAGAGTGTATAAATCTGTAGGGGAAGGAAGGCGGGGTAGGGGTCATCCTTGAGAAGGTTGGAGGAAGGGGGCAAAGGAGGTTTTGTGGGCAAAGGGCTTGGACTTCCAGCAAGCATGTGTGAGCATGTTAGGTAGGAGTGAATGGAGACGAATGGTTTTAGGACCTGACGAGCTGTTGGAGTGTGAGCAGGGTAATATTTAGTGAAGGGATTCAGGGAATCCTGTTATTTTTATATAGCCAGATTTGAGTACTGGAAATGAGAAGTACAATGCCTGCACTTTAAAGGAGGGGTGTGGGATATTGGCAGTTTGGAGCGGTATGTTATACATCTTTATATATGCTTTTAAATATAGGTCGTAGGTTGGTAGACAGCAACCACCCAGGGAGGTACTACCGTCCTGCCAAGTGAGTGTAAAACAGAAGCCTGTAATTGTTTTACATGATGGTAGGATTGCTGGTGTCTTTTGTCTGTCTCATAAATATGCAAGATTACAGGTATGTCTTGCTACTTCTATTTACACTTAAGTCACACTACACATATGTGTACAAGCATATATATATACACACCCCTCTGGGTTTTCTGCTATTTTCTTTCTAGTTCTTGTTCTTGTTTATTTCCTCTTATCTCCATGGGGAAGTGGAACAGAATTCTTCCTCCGTAAGCCATGCCTGTTGTAAGAGGCGACTAAAATGCCAGGAGCAAGGGGCTAGTAACCCCTTCTCCTGTATATATTACTAAATGTACAAGGAGAAACTTTTGTTTCACCTTTTGGGCCACCCCACCTCGGTGGGATACGGCCGGTGTGTTGAAAGAAAGAAAGATATGCTTCTAAACTGTTGTATCTGGGTGCCTCTGCAAAGACTGATTATGTGTGAGTGAGGTGAAAGTGTTGAATGATGATGAAAGTGTTTTCTTTTTGGGGATTTTCTTTCTTTTTGGGTCACCCTGCCTTGCTGGGAGATGGCCGACTTGTTGAAAAAAAAAATTATACTGGTATAATCATTTTTCAGAGGTAGTAGAACATGCTTGCAGCATCACCAGCTTGCAGCTTGGAGAGACTATGCCACGCATTGCCCGGGACATGGATGCTTATTCATATCGTTTGCCACTTGGGGTGTGCTCAGGCATTGCTCCATTTAATTTCCCTGCAATGATACCTCTCTGGGTAAGTCACCCTTTGCATTTTTACATAAATTATGGCTTGCTAGTGGTGTCTCCCTGTACTGAATGAAAAATTAGAAGTCATTGCCCTTGCAAATATAGTTTAATACTATGTGTAGGAAATGTTTTCTTCATTGGCTCAACACTCCCATGGTGAGAAACAACAATCATAGTAATAAAAAAAGGGGTTTGTATTTATACAAAATAAGAGCATTAAAGTTAAATCCTAAGTATACTTGTTTTAGGAAATTCATAAGTTAGCTGCTGGAAGTAACACATAGAGAAGCTGATTAAGGGGTAAAAGGGTGTGATTGAGATTTTGAAGGAACAGTCTGTTGCACAAGCTCTGCAGTGTATAGGCAGAAGAACAGTTTGTGAATTCTGGTACATGTATTCTAATGCAGGACCGAAAATCCTTGGCTTATTAAGACCATAGCTAAGTGCATGAATATCACCAAGGAATGCAACCCACTACAGTCAACTAATTCCCAGGTAACTGTTTACTGATAAACAGGGACAGCAGGTAGGAGATGCCCATATGTCTTGATTTATCTGGGATTTGAACTCTTGACCTTTTTGTCATGAGATATTTGCACTGACTACTGCACTATAGCCTTATGATTATAGTGAAACCATTTGACCATAAAAGATATTGGCAAATAAAGCTGTAGGCCTTGTGTGATAACTCTTTTTCTGTACAAAGTGATGAATAGTAAGACCATTTTTTTTAACACATCAGCTGTTTCCCACTGAGGCAGGGGGACCCAAAAAGAAAGAAAGAACTTTCACCATCATTCATACATAATCACTGTCTTTGCAGAGGCGCTCAGATATGGCAGTTTAGATATCCCTCCAAACTGCTAATATTCCAAACCCCTCCTTTAAAGTGCAGGCATTGTACTTTCCATTTCCAGGACTCAAGTCTGGCTAACCGGTTTCCCTGAGTCATTTTGTTTGGGAAAAATCTGCTCGTTTTTGTTCACATTTCCTAACGTTACAGTACTCTTGAGTGTAATGAGGAGGCTGAACTATAGTGTACTTCTTTCTTCTTTCTTTCAACAAACCGGCCGTATCCCACTGAGGCAGGGTGGCCCAAAAAGAAAAACAAGTTATAGTGTACTTAATAATTTGTATTTCTAAGAAGAAAATAGTTATCAATAATACATTGAAATTTAATGCAGTTTCCTGTTTCTTCATCTTCTTTCAATAAACTGGCCGTATCCCACCGAGGCAGTGTGGCCCAAAAAGGAAAACAAAAGTTTCTCTTTTTAACTTTAGTAATGTATACAGGAGAAGGGGTTACTAGCCCATTGTTCCCGGTACTTTAGTTGCTTCTTATGACACACATGGCTTACGGAGGAAGAATGCTGTTCCACTTCCCTGTGGAGATAAGAGGAAATAAGCAAGAACAAGAACAAATAGCAAGAAAAATTTAAGAAAACCCAGAGGGCTGTGTGTGTATGTGTATATATATATCTTTTTTTCAACAAATCGGCCGTATCCCACCGAGGCAGGGCGGCCCAAAAAGAAAAACAAAAGCTTCTCTTTTTAAATCTTTCTTTCTTTCAACACACTGGCCGTATCCCACCAAGGCAGGGTGGCCCAAAAAGAAAAATGAAAGTTTCTCTTTTAAATTTAGTAATTTATACAGGAGAAAGGGTTACCAGCCCCTTGCTCCCGGCATTTTAGTCGCCTCTTACAACAGGCATGGCTTATGGAGGAAGAATTCTGTTCCACTTCCCCATGGAGATAAGAGGAAATAAACAAGAACAAGAACTATAAAGAAAATAGAAGAAAACCCAGAGGGGTATGTATATATATGCTTGTACATGTATGTGCAGTGTGACCTAAGTGTAAGTAGAAGTAGCAAGACGTACCTGAAATCTTGCATGTTTACGAAACAGAAAAAAGGACACCAGCAATCCTCCCATTATGTAAAACAATTACAGGCTTTCGTTTTACACTCACTTGGTAGGATGGTAGTGCCTCTCTGGGCGGATACTGTATAGCAACCTATTACCTAGGGGTTTCCTGTTTATCATGACTGAATTGTGAATTGAAGCTTATTGCTTAAATTTCTCACTGTTAAACAATATTCTGGGTACCCATTTCTGTGTTCTTTCTTTTTACAGATGTTCCCAATTGCAGTGGTTTGTGGAAATACATATGTATTAAAGCCATCTGAACGAGTGCCGGGAGCAACCATGATGTTGGTTGAAATGTTTAAAGAAGCTGGCTGCCCTGATGGTGTTGTAAATGTCATTCATGGTCAGCATGAAGCTGTTAATTTCATCTGTGACAATCCAGATATTCGAGCCATCTCCTTTGTGGGCTCAGATATTGCTGTGAGTATTTTACATATACCTAATGTGAATTGATTAAAGATTTATTGTTATGGTGCATCTGGAAGGTAAAGGATGTCTTTCTGAAGATTTTATATAATGTAAGTGCATGTGTGAAGTTCTATTAAGGTGGATTAAAATAAATTGGAAACTTTGTATGCTTTAACCCTTTGACTGTTTCGGTCGTATATATACGTCTGCAAAAACAGTAATTATGTGTGAGTGAGGTGAAAGTGTTGAATGATGATGAAAGTATTTTCTTTTTGGGGATTTTCTTTGTTTTTGGGTCACCCTGCCTCGGTGGGAGACGGCTGACTTGTTGAAAAAAAAAAAATATACGTCTTACGAGCCAATGCGTTTGATGTATATACAGTATACTCAAAAATTCTAGCGGCTTCAGATCAAGCGGGAGAAAGCTGATAGGCCCACATGTGAGAGAATGGGTCTGTGTGGTCAATGTGCGCAGTATAAAAAAAATCCTGCAGCAAGCAGTACATAATGAGAAAAAAAACTCTGACTGTGTTTTTGGATTAAAACGCCGAATTTGAGGTGTATTTTCGTATAGTTTTTATGGTTATATTCTCATTTTCATAGTCACATTTGATAGAATGGAAAACATATAGAAATGGAGGTGATTTTGATTGGTTTTACTATGAAAAAGACCTTGAAATGGAGCTCAAAGTAGGGGAAATGATGGATTTTTGCCGATGTTCAAGAGTAAACAAATGACATCATTGTCTAATAAATGTCCAACTAGCCATTCTAACATGCAATCATGGATGGGTTGACATTATTTATACAATTATTACAATATTGCAGTAGTTTGCATAACAGTAAATCTTCTATTTTTTGTTTGAATAAAAATTCAAAATAGAAAGCAAGAGTAATATCAGAGGGGCCTGGAGACATGACTGATGAACAAAGGAAATGTTATTTTAAGCCAGGAGTGTCTGCATTGTTCATTTTGGACCCTATTTTGAAATTGGCCAAATTGCCAATTTCTGACCACTTTATTGGGTAGTTGAAATCAGTAAATGGGCAGTTTCTTGTACTCAATCAATAGAACAAATGGAGTTCTAAAGAAACAATGGAATTAGCCAAAAATAGAGCTCAAATTGGGCAAAATCGCTGATTCGTAAATATCGCCGAGGTCCCTAACTTTACGAGAGCATAATTCTGTAATTACTCTGGAGCTATAATGTATTTGATGTGGTAATCTGGGGTGAAAGGAAGTAGTAGGGGTTATTCCAGGATGGGTTGGTTAGAGGCAAAGGATGAAGGAAGTTTTGAGTGCTAGGGGCTTGAGCATCAATCAGGCTTGTCAGAGCATATTAGAATAGAGGGTAGAGAAGTGGCATGTATGGCTTGATGTGCTGTGGGAGTGTGAGCAAGGTAATATTTGTGAAATGATTTAGAAGAAACCAGTTAGCTATACTTGAACCCTAGATGTGGGGAAGTATAGTGCCTACACTCTAAAGGAGCAATGGGGATGTTACGGTTGAGAGGGGTCGTTTGAGTTGTGATATCTTTGCACTTTTGGCAGCATAGTTATTGAATGAATGATGGTGAATGATCACTCTACTTTGGTGGGTGATGGCCAATGTGCTAAAAATAATATTTGCTGAACTGTTTTCTTGTTTAATTGATTCTAAACCTTATTTTTTCAACAGGGTCGATACATTTATGAAAGGGGATCCATGAATGGAAAGAGAGTTCAGTCTAATATGGGAGCTAAAAACCATGGAGTAATTATGCCAGATGCTAACAAGGAAAGTACATTAACTCAGTTGGTTGGAGCAGCTTTTGGGGCTGCTGGTCAGAGGTGAGTGTACACATTATAATATTTTCATGTGTGACAAATTAATCTCTTCCAGTTTACGAAGTATTTTCCGTTTAAATCGGGTATTGTGGTGATTTTGTTGTGGCGACTTCATACCATCATTACCATATCATCTACCTGCTAGTTTGGCTATTCAGCAAGTGCAGCTGTAATTAATTGCTTGCACTGAGAAACCGAAAGTGACTGAGGATTGCCTTTGTAAACACACATGACAAATGGAAAAGGTATGTAATTGATATAAATAAGATGAGGTAGACTTGCACAGAGAAAAACTATTTTGAAAGTGTGAAAACTTAATATTTATTGAACAATTGTTGTGAAGGTTAAAAAATGTAACATTATAGCATTGTTTTACAGGAGGAAACCCTCTCTCTCCCCCCCTTCATTGTAGTTCTCAATATCTTCATTTCAAAGCTTAGTTAAGTTAACAACAAACCTCTGTTCATCTTATCAAGATAGAAACTGGTATTTTGCTAGGCTGTTCCTGGCCAGCTGGGTTGTGGTGCCTATGGTGGCCTCTGTGTAGTGAACATCACTGCTAGATTCTCTTTTTGTGAGTGAGTATCCTGGAAATTGGTGAAGGGCTCTTGATCCGAGGAAATGGTGCTATGTTACCCTTCCTCAGATTAAACCTGATAACCCCCATACCTCCCAGGCACTGTAAGGCAGCTTCCACACAAATGTTATTAGATAAGACTAATGTGTTACAAAATTACATGTGCCAGCATGTTACAAATGACTCGTATACACAATATACTGGTAGTAATAATTTTGTGAAAAAGGTTGCAATACCTGGTTAAGTTGCAGTATCTTCAGTAATTGTAAAATATTTGAATAAGCCATCAACAGATGAACAAATTTTTTGTGTCTCCTTGAATTTCCGTATTTTATAAGGAGAAGACAAGTGGCACTTACAGTACTAAATCCTCCTTGGAAAATATTTTGAAGCTGATGCTTTGCTGAGAAATACCAAATCTATTAACTTCATAAATACAGTGGAGGCCTGGTTTTCGTCTTTAATCTGTTCCAGAAGGTCAGCCAAAAACCAATTTGTATCAAACTAAAGTAATATTTCCCATAAGAAATAATGTAAATCCAATTAATCCATTCCAGACACCCAAAAATATTAACAAAAAATACATTTTATAGAGAATAACTATAATGTTACATACAGAAAACAATGAGAAATAAATATAAAGGACTAATGAAATGGATAAATGAACATTTAACATCACTTTTACTCTTATTGAAGACTCTTGTTGGCATATGGAAGACAGCGAGGAGGGGAGAGGTTATTGTTTGGAAAGGGAATCCCCTCCATAAGGACTTCGGGTATCAAAACCCTATCAGGAGTTACTTCCCTTCTTTGTCTTTTACTGACACTAGGACCAGCTTGAGAGTCACTGGACCCCTGTTGCATAAAAAATCTGTCCAGAGAGGCCTGTTTCTGGTGTCTCTTTAAGATTTGCCTATAATGGGACACGACATTGTCATTGAACATGTTGCTGACATGGCTTGCAACAGCTTTGTTAGGGTGACATTTCTCCACAAAACTTTGCACCTCACTCCACTTTGCACAAATGTCCTTAACTGCTGAAGAAGGCACATTCTTCCCTCTCTCTTCCTCTTCCTCGGAAACAATTTCCTCAGCTAAGGTCTGTTGCTCTTCCAGATGAATGTCTTGCAGCACTTCAATGGTTAGCTCTTCCCTGTGATCGTCCACAAACTCTTCCACATCCTGGCCACTCACCTCCAACCCCATGGACTTCCCCAAAGACACAATAGAGTTCTTTCTTGAATTCTATCGTGTTTCTCACTTTTACCAAGTGGCTGCCACTCGGAACTTTCTTTGGCCCCATGGTGGCTTATTTAGCAGTCGCAAGCACAAAAAGCAATGGATTATTATGAAATGTTTTGGATGAATGCACAGAGTGATGCTCACCGAACGAGTAACAAAGGCAGACTAAGCCACGAACGTATGAGCGGCCGCGTCCCACAGGCAGGCAGATGTGTCTGGTACGAACGATTTTCCAGCAGATGTACAAAAACGGGGAAAATTTCGCCAACAAAAGTGGTCAAAAACTGAATTGTATGATAACTGAACCGGATGAAAACCGGGGTTCCACTGTATTCAGAACCTCTTGACTGTTTTTTCAAAACTGAGGTTCCTTTGAGTCATAGTATACAAAGTATTCATTGTGTTATATAATGGCTGATGTGTTCATTTGGTTCCTCTTTCAATCTTAGCATTCTGTTTTGTCAGGAAATGAAATACTGTAGAAATATTACAGTCCTACACATTATATAATCCCTAGAGTTTTCATCTTCACAGTTAATAATAATAATATTCACAAGAGAAGTTTTTAAATTTTTTTTTTTCTGTATTCATTTTAAAAATAGCTATTTCAGTGGCTTTCATTCTATTTGCAGATGTATGGCCCTAAGTACAGCAGTATTTGTAGGGGAGGCTGGTAATTGGTTGCCAGATTTGGTTGAAAAGTCAAAGAAGCTTAGAGTGAATGCTGGCCATGTTGCAGATGCAGACTTGGGTCCTGTAATTTCCCCAGCTGCTCGAGAACGTATATGCAGCCTGGTTCAGTCAGGCATCAACGAGGGAGCCACCTGCTTACTGGATGGACGTAATATTGTTGTGCCAGGTTATGAAAATGGAAATTTTGTTGGCCCAACGATACTTTCTGATGTCAAGGTAGAATTTTCTATAGTGTGGCAGTATTGCACCTGTTGCATAATACTGGCATTTACTTAATAATTTGATTATAGATTTTAGAGGATTGAATGGCAGTATGTCCATGTTAGATAGAAGTGAGTGGAGGCAAATGGTTTTGGGACCTGACAAACTGTTAGTGTGAATAAGGTAACATTTTGTGAAGGGATTCAGGAAAAGGGGTTAGCCAGACTTGAATCCTGGAGGTAGGAAATATAATGCCTGCACTAAAGGAGGGATGAGGATATTTGCTGTTTGGAGGGAGTTTTGAACTGTCATATCTATACACATCTAGCAAGGCAGTGATAGTGTGAATGGTGATGAAAGTTTTTCTGTTTTGGGTTACCCTACCTCAATGGAAGAGGGCCAGTGTGTTAAAAAAAAGAGAAAGTCTATTCTAAAGTTTAAAGGCTCTGAAGTATGCAAAATAGATTGCATTATGAGTTCCTTAATATTTCAGAACATCTGAAATTTTTATTAATGGGATTTTTTTTTTTTCGACGAACCAGCTGTATCCTACTGAAGCAGGGTGACCTAAAAAGAAAAACAAAAGTTTTTCTTTTTAAATGTAATAATTTATACAGAAGGGGTTACTAACCCCCTTGCTTTCAGCATTTTAGTCACTTCTGAGGTAAGGTGACCTAAAAAAGGAGAAACACTTTCACCATCACTCACTCTATCACTTTCTTCCCAGAGGAGTGCCAGTACTAGTTCAAAACTGCAAATATCCCCACCCTCCTTCAGAGTGCAGGCACTGTTATAGTGACAGGATCCAGATTTTGTTCACCTTGGTATGATATTAATTTATGATATTAATTTAGGTGATGAAAGATTGGATATCAGATTGGAGGGAGAGAGTATGGAGGAGGTGAATGTATTCAGATATTTGGGAGTGGACGTGTCAGCGGATGGGTCTATGAAAGATGAGGTGTAACATAGAATTGATGAGGGGAAAAGAGTGAGCGGTGCACTTGGGAGTCTGTGGAGACAAAGAACTTTGTCCTTGGAGGCAAAGAGGGGAATGTATGAGAGTATAGTCTTACCAACGCTCCAAAATATTTAAAGCTCTCATAGCCCTGCATTCTTCTCTCCTGGGTGTGGTGAAGGGTTTTCAACCAGATGGTCCTATATGTTGCCAGATTATAGATTTGGAATCATCTCTGCTGATTTCCATGGTGTAAACATGACCAGTGATGATTGTACATATCACATGCACCAAAAATTACAACCTTCTGCTTATATTTCAAATTCTTGTTTCGTCAGATGCCTGGTCTCATCAGTGACCAAAATGCAACTATATCCTATTTGTACTGCACATCATATCTTTATCATGCACACGATGGCTAGTGAATTGAAACTGTGTGTTTAACCTGCAGCATGGTAAATACAGCTGGTCAAGTCAAGCGACTTCAGACACACTATAGGTATACTTTACTGTATTTTAATTGTGAACCAGGAAATGACTAAGGTTATGATCTCTGTTTGCTTTTAGCCAAGTATGACCTGCTATAAGGAGGAGATCTTTGGCCCTGTATTGATTACTATGACTGTGGACACCATGGATGAAGCTATTCAAATTATCAATACAAACAAATATGGTAATGGAACAGCCATATTTACAACTAATGGAGCAACAGCAAGAAAATTTACAAATGACATCGACTGTGGACAGGTTTGTCCACACACAATTCAAAATTTTTTTTAGCTGTCAGGGCAATATTTCCTTTTAATTTTTTCCGTATGTGTTCATTTAATATGCTCTTGAGGTATGGAAGCAATGTATGCATGTATGTGACTGATAGCAATTAATAATTTTTGTAGCATTACTATAGTGGTTATAGTTAGCCACCATAGTTTATAGTTATGCAAGAAGTAGAATGAATATACAGTGGACCCTCTACCAACGATGGCATCATCTAACGTTAAATCCGACTAGCGATACATTTTAACGCAAAAATTTTGCCTTGACTAGCGCTAAAAAACTCGACAAACACGATTCGTTCCATTCGAAATGCGTCCACTTGTGGCCAGTGTTTACAAGCCAGCCAGCCACCGCGGTCCCATCCAAACATCCAATCAGAACATTTCATATTATCACAGCGTTTTTAGTGATTGCACCTGCAAAATAAGTCACCATGGGCCCCAAGAAAGCTTCTAGTACCAACCCTACAGCAAAAAGGGTGAGAATTACTATGGATATGAAGAAAGAGATTATTGCTAAGTATGAAAGTGGAGTGCGTGTCTCCGAGCTGGCCAGGTTGTACACAAAACCCCAATCAACCATCGCTACTATTGTGGCCAAGAAAACGGCAATCAAGGAAGCTGTTCTTGCCAAAGGTGCAACTATGTTTTCAAAGCTGAGATTGCAAGTGATGGAAGATGTTGAGAGACTGTTATTGGTGTGGATAAACGATAGCATCTCTCAAGCAATCACATGTGAAAAGGCTAGGAAGTTGCATGATGATTTAATTAGAAAAATACCTGCAACTAGTGGTGATGTGAGTGAATTTAAGGCCAGCAAAGGTTGGTTTGGGAGATTTAAGAATCGTAGTGGCATACATAGTGTGATAAGGCATGGTGAGGCTGCCAGTTCGGACCAAAAAGCAGCTGAAAAATATGTGCAGGAATTCAAGGAGTACATAGACAGTGAAGAATTGAAACCTGAACAAGTGTTTAATTGTGACACTGACAGTGTTGTGAAACACTTTAGGAATGTCATAAAGGAACGGGAGGTACAGGCCTCTATGGACAGATATGTTGTGCGACAGAGGTCCAGTGACTCTCAAGCTGGTCCTAGTGGCATTAAAAGAAGAAGGGAAGTAACCCCGGAAAAGGACTTGACACCTCAAGTCCTAATGGAAGGGGATTCCCCTTCTAAACACTAACACCATCCACACACTCCCCTCCTCCCATCCCATCAATCATCACCAGATCTTCAATAAAGGTAAGTGTCGTGTAATTGTACATGTCTTCTTCAGTTTGTGTGTATTAAAATTAATATTTCAAGTGGTAAAAATGTTTTTTTTCAATACTTTTGGGTGTCTTGCACGGATTAATTTGATTTCCATTATTTCTTATGGGGAAATTAACTCAACTAATGATAATTTCAATTAACGATGAGCTCTCAGGAACGGATTAATATCGTTGGTCGAGGGTCCACTGTACAGCAAGAAATATGTAAACTTTGAAAATGTTAACAAGTCTTTGATTCAACTGAGATTACTATTACCGAGAAACTGTGCTGCATCTTTAATTAGTGTGGCACTTGATTGGCTGTTGTGCATCTGCACAAGTGTGCAGCTTAAAGGCAACACTAATCAGGAGTCTATGCCACAAATATATATCTTCTTTTAACAAACTGGCTGTATCCCACCGAAGCTGGGTGGCCTTAAAAGAATAACAAAAGTTCCTCTTGCCGCCCCTTGCTTCCGGTATTTTAGTTGCCTGTTAGGACACACATGGGTTATGGAGGAAGAATTCTGTTCACTTCCTCATGGAGAACAAATGTATATATGAGGGCATATTGAATAGTCTTTGCATTTGTGATTTTTTCTTGACAAAAATACAACTTGTCCATATTGCACATTGTTCATTGGTTACATTTTGACATGATCACCAAGCATTTATCCTGATGTCTTGCAAGTTTGTTTATGCCTTTTGCATAGATTTCTGTTGGCTGATTACATTGCCATGAAGGAACAGCCATTATCACATAGTCTGTGTTGAAATGCTCTCCTCCCAGGAACTTCTTCAGATGCCTGAATTGATGGAAGTCACTGGGGGCAAGATTGGGGATTGAAATTGTATTTTTGTCAGGAAAAATAATGGACACACAGACTTTTCTATCTATCCTCATATATGACAAGGCAGCTACCCGTGCATATCAACAAACTAATTATTTGGGGCATTATGAATTGTTGTAAACATCTGGCCATACTGCCTATGTATGGCATGTGCTTAAGTTGTACACTTTTTTTTTTTTAATTGTAAGAAAAATGGAAAAAAAATTTTGGAGGGAAATTCTTTGCTACCCACCTTGCTTCCTTGCAGTGAATATGAGATGTTTGTTTTAGTATTCATGGCCCAAAGACTATTGTAATCTGAAATGCTTTGCATACTCAACCTGCCATTGGAAATTCTCTGTCAGTTTCTTGTAGAGTAAGTCCTCACTTAACATCATCGATAAGTTCTTGGAAACTGCGACCTTAAGTGAAGCAACGTGGAATGAAAGTACACTTGGCTGTTCATCGTCAAACCTCTTTAAAACTTCTAGTTTGTTTTTCATGTCACAATTTTTTTTTTTTTTTTTTGTCACTGATATCAGGGGTGCACAGTGCACCTCTAGCACTCATTGCAACAGAATTAAATCAAGGAATAAATGTTTGCAAAGCAAAAATTGTAAGGAGCATCAACCACCAAGCAGTTAAAAAAAAAAAAAAAAAATATGGCTGGCTTACTGGGCACTTTCGTACCACATCGTTTATTGTCAGATTTTTCTTCTACTGTATCTGCACAGACAGTGTCCCCAGTTGGGAATCTATTTTTCTTTCTCATTAACGTTATAACAAAACAACGTTGAATGAAATGACATTATTCGAGGACTTAGTGTATATGATTTTTAACAGATATTTCAGTTTACATTTTATTTTGGTTATAACAAACCACAATGCTAATAAATGAAGTGTAAAGCATGGAAACTAAATTTTAAAGCACTTACGGAAAACAGGAACCTTCCGAGCACACTAAAAACAATCAGATTACCTTTGTTTAAGGCTCTTGAATTTTAAATTTGAATCATGAGATAGGATAAGATAAGATTTTCTTTGGATTTTTAACCCCGGAGGATTAGCCACCCAGGATAACCTAAGAAAGTCAGTGCGTCATCGAGGACTGTAACTTATTTCCATTGGGGTCCTCAATCTTGTCTCCCAGGATGTGACTCACACCAGTCGACTAACAGCCAGGTACCTATTTGCTGCTAGGTGAACAGGACAACAGGTGTAAGGAAACGTGTTGAAATGTTTCCACCCTCTGGGAATCGAACCCGGGCCCTCTGTGTGTAAAGCGAGAGCTTTAGCCACCAGGCCACAGTCCTTTATAGATTTGAATCCAGTGAGACAGAATGCCAGATTTAGTCCTTGAAAACTTTTAATTTCACTAATTTGTCAGCTCAGCATAATTTTGTGTTTAAAATAACTGACAAAAATTGTATACTGAACAAAACAACATTATTCTAATAGACTACCAGTACATACAAAGTTTGTTTCTACAAGTCAAGCACCAGATGAGCCTGGCCTTAGGCTGGACTCTGGGAGTAGAAAAACTCTTAGAACTCATTAATGATGCTATTTACTTGCATGTCATTGATGGAAATTATTGGTACTGTGCAACATACAAGTGACAGAAAACTGTGTAGAGGCCTTGCACCACTAGAAGGCCGCAATATTTATATACTGTAATTTATTCCGTTGACTTAAAGCATTAAAGCTATATTTGTATACATTATAATGCATGTAATTTAAGTTATAGAATGAGATAGAACATGTGACTAAGAGAAATATTTGTTTAATAACTGTAAACAGAGTGAGATGGCTGTTGGCTGGTGTCCTTTTAGGGAAAAGGGTGTCATGATGACAGTGAAGGGCTTTTCATCCAAGAAATTGGATCTGCCCTTCCCTTCTTCAGATCAAATATACCTTCCTTTAATCAATGTTGAAAGTAATAATCTAACTAGCAGGAGACTGTGCATACTAGTATTAAGCACAGTTTCTTTTATATGAGAGGGATTATACAGACAGTATTATTTTACAGTATTCATAGATACAAGATTGATGAAGCCTCCTGGAAGGTAACCCTTGCCAGTTTAGGGGTTCAGTTGTGCTTGTATATTGGTACAGTGGCATTTTACTAAGTCTTAATTGAATTAAAATAATAATGGAATTCAGTATAAGAAAATTATTAATGATGAAGATATAATGTGTGAAGAGAACTAGTTATGATATAAGGTAGCATATTTTTTTATTGTTTTAATTTTTTTATAAGATTTTCAAGGTATACCAAAAGAAAGCAATGTATCTCCTTTGTATGTAATGCATATTATGCATCTTGTGTTTTCCTCTGCAGGTTGGAATTAATGTTCCCATTCCTGTTCCTCTACCAATGTTCTCCTTCACTGGGTCACGGGGATCATTCCTTGGTGATACTAATTTCTACGGCAAAGCAGTAAGAAGCTTGTAATGTTTGTTTTATGACCCCTTTATTTTGTTTAATTTTCATTTTTTTTTTTTAACACTTCGGCCATTTCCCACTGAGGCAGGATGACCCAAAAAGAAAGAAAAAGCTTTCATCATCTTTCAACACTTTCACCATCACTCATACATAATCAGTCTTTGCAGAGGCACTCAGATATGACAGTTTAGAAGTCCCTCTAAACTGCCATTATCCCAAACCCCTCCTTTAAAGTACATACAGGCATTGTACTTCCCATTTCCAGGACTCAAGTCTGGCTGACCAGTTTCCCTGAATCCCTTTACATAATACTGTATTATCCTGCTCACACTCCAACAGCTCGTCAGGTCCCAAATACCATTCGTCTCCATTCACTCGTATCTAACACGCTCATGCATGCTTGCTGGAAGTCCAAGCCCCTCGCCCACGAAACCTCCTTTACCCCCTCCCTCCAACCTTTTCAAGGATGACCCATACCCCGCATTCCTTTCCCTACAGATTTATATGCTTTCCAAGTCATTCTACTCTGATCTATTCTCTCTAAATGACCACACCACCTCAACAACCCCCCTTCAGCCCTCTTACTTATATTTTTAGTAACTCCACACCTCCTAATTTCCACACTCCGAATTCTCTGTATATTTATACCACATAATGCCCTTAGACAGGACATCTCCACTGCCTCCAGCTGCCTCCTCTCTGCAGCATTTACATCCCAAGCTTCACACCCATGAAAGAGTGTTGGTACCAATATACTTTCGTACATTCCCTTTTTTGCCTCCATGGATAACGTTTTTTTGCCTCCACAGAAACCTTAACTCACCACTTGCCTTTTTTCTTTCATCAGTTCTATGGTTAACCTCATCCTTCCTAAACCCATCCACTGACAAGTCAATTCTCAAATATCTGAAAACATTCACTTCTTCCATACTCCCTCCCTCCAATGTGATATCCAATTTTTCTTTATCTAAATCATTTGATACCCTTATCACCTTACTCTTATCTATGTTCACTTTAAACTTTCTACCTTTACACACCCTTACATAATATATTTATTTTATTAACTCATCAGTCGTTTCCAAGGCAGGGTGGCCCGAAAAAGAAAAACTTTCATTATTATTTACTCCACATTCTTGCCAGAACTGCGCTTACACTGCAGTTATAAAACTACAATATTAACACCCCTCCAGAGTGCCGGCACTGTATACTTCCCGTCTCCAGGAATTAGTTCCGGCCTGCCAGTTTCCCTGAATCCTTTCACAAACGTTACCTTGCTTACACTCCAACAGCACATTAAATCCTAAAAACCATTTGTCTCCATTTGCTCTTATCGAACACGCTCACGGATGCTTGCTGGAAGTCCAAGCCATTCGCACACAAAACCTCTTTTGCCCCCTCTCTCCAACCTTTCCTATGCTGACCTCTACCCCACCTTCCCTCCACTACAGATTTATACACTCTTGAAGTCATTCTATTTCATTCCCTCCTCTCTACATGTTCCAAACCATGTCAGTAACCCCTCCTCAGTCCTCTGGTTAATAGCTTTGGTAATCCCACACCTCCTCCTAATCTCCAAACTACGGATTCTCTGCATTATATTCACACCACACATTAACCTCAGACATGACATCTCCACTTCCTCCAGGCTTCTCCTTGTTGCAACATCCACCACCCATGCTTCACACATACAAGAGCGTTGGTATAACTATACTCTCATACATTCCCTTCTTTGCTTTCATGGATAAAGTTTTCTGTCTCCACAGACCCCTCAGTGCACCACTCACCTTTTTCCCCTTGTCAGTTCTATGATTCACCTCATCTTTCATAGACCCATCTGCTGACATGTCCACTCCCAAATATCTGAATACATTCACCTAGTAGGTTGGTAGACAGCAACTGGTAGACAGCAACCACCCAGGGAAGTACTACCGTCCTGCCAGATGACTGTGAAACAGAAACCTGTAACTGTTTTGCATGATGGTAGGATTGCTGGTTTCTTTTTCTGTCTCATAAACATGCTAGATAACGGATATCTTGTTACTCCTACTTACACTTTGGTCACACTTCACAGACACGCACATGCATATATATATACATACATCTAGGTTTTTCTCCTTTTTCTAAATAGCTCTTGTTCTTCTTTATTTCTTCTATTGTCCATGGGGAAGTGGAAAAGAATCTTTCCTCCGTATGCCATGCGTGTCGTATGAGGCGACTAAAATGCCGGGAGCAATGGGCTAGTAACCCCTTCTCCTGTAGACATTTACTAAAAAAGAGAAGAAAAACTTTATAAAACTGGGATGCTTAAATGTGTGTGGATGTAGTGCGGATGACAAGAAACAGATGATTGCTGATGTTATGAATGAAAAGAAGTTGGATGTCCTGGCCCTAAGCGAAACAAAGCTGAAGGGGGTAGGGAGTTTCAGTGGGGGGAAATAAATGGGATTAAATCTGGAGTATCTGAGAGAGTTAGAGCAAAGGAAGGGGTAGCAGTAATGTTAAATGATCAGTTATGGAAGGAGAAAAGAGAATATGAATGTGTAAATTCAAGAATTATGTGGATTAAAGTAAAGGATGGATGCGAAAAGTGGGTCATAATAAGCGTGTATGCACCTGGAGAAGAGAGGAATGTAGAGGAGAGAGAGAGATTTTGGGAGATGTTAAGTGAATGTATAGGAGCCTTTGAACCAAGTGAGAGAGTAATTGTGGTAGGGGACCTGAATGCTAAAGTAGGAGAAACTTTTAGAGAGGGTGTGGTAGGTAAGTTTGGGGTGCCAGGTGTAAATGATAATGGGAGCCCTTTGATTGAACTTTGTATAGAAAGGGGTTTAGTTATAGGTAATACATATTTTAAGAAAAAGAGGATAAATAAGTATACAAGATATGATGTAGGGCGAAATGACAGTAGTTTGTTGGATTATGTATTGGTAGATAAAAGACTGTTGAGTAGACTTTAGGATGTACATGTTTATAGAGGGGCCACAGATATATCAGATCACTTTCTAGTTGTAGCTACACTGAGAGTAAAAGGTAGATGGGATACAAGGAGAATAGAAGCATCAGGGAAGAGAGAGGTGAAGGTTTATAAACTAAAAGAGGAGGCAGTTAGGGTAAGATATAAACAGCTATTGGAGGATAGATGGGCTAATGCTTTAGCTCAAGTTAGAGTATGTAGGAAAGAGGGAAATTATTTCCCAGTAAAAGTAGGCCTTAGACAAGGATGTGTGATGTCACCGTGGTTGTTTAATATATTTATAGATGGGGTTGTAAGAGAAGTAAATGCGAGGGTCTTGGCAAGAGGCGTGGAGTTAAAAGATAAAGAATCACACACAAAGTGGGAGTTGTCACAGCTGCTCTTTGCTGATGACACTGTGCTCTTGGGAGATTCTGAAGAGAAGTTGCAGAGATTGGTGGATGAATTTGGTAGGGTGTGCAAAAAAAGAAAATTAAAGGTGAATACAGGAAAGAGTAAGGTTATGAGGATAACAAAAAGATTAGGTGATGAAAGATTGAATATCAGATTGGAGGGAGAGAGTATGGAGGAGGTGAATGTATTCAGATATTTGGGAGTGGACGTGTCAGCGGATGGGTCTATGAAAGATGAGGTGAATCATAGAATTGATGAGGGGAAAAGAGTGAGTGGTGCACTTAGGAGTCTGTGGAGACAAAGAACTTTGTCCTTGGAGGCAAAGAGGGGAAAGTATGAGAGTATAGTTTTACCAACGCTCTTATATGGGTGTGAAGCATGGGTGATGAATGTTTGCAGCGAGGAGAAGGCTGGAGGCAGTGGAGATGTCATGTCTGAGAGCAATGTGTGGTGTGAATATAATGCAGAGAATTCGTAGTTTGGAAGTTAGGAGGAGGTGCGGGATTACCAAAACTGTTGTCCAGAGGGCTGAGGAAGGGTTGTTGAGGTGGTTCGGACATGTAGAGAGAATGGAGCGAAACAGAATGACTTCAAGAGTGTATCAGTCTGTAGTGGAAGGAAGGCGGGGTAGGGGTCGGCCTAGGAAAGGTTGGAGAGAGGGGGTAAAGGAGGTTTTGTGTGCGAGGGGCTTGGACTTCCAGCAGGCATGCGTGAGCGTGTTTGATAGGAGTGAATGGAGACAAATGGTTTTTAATACTTGACGTGCTGTTGGAGTGTGAGCAAAGTAACATTTATGAAGGGGTTCAGGGAAACCGGCAGGCCGGACTTGAGTCCTGGAGATGGGAAGTACAGTGCCTGCACTCTGAAGGAGGGGTGTTAATGTTGCAGTTTAAAAACTGTAGTGTAAAGCACCCTTCTGGCAAGACAGTGATGGAGTGAATGATGGTGAAAGTTTTTCTTTTTCGGGCCACCCTGCCTTGGTGGGAATCGGCCAGTGTGATAATAAAAACAATTCACCTCCTCCATACTCTCTCTTCCTCCAATCTGATATCCAATCTTCCATTACTTAATTTTTTTTTTGTTATCCTCATCATCTTACTCTTTCCTATATTCACTTTTAATTTCCTTCTTTTACATACCCTACCAAACTCATCAACCAACCTCTGCAACTTCTCTTCAGAATCTCCCAAAGCACAGTGTCATCAGCAAAGAGCAACTGTGACAACTCCCACTGTGTGTTAGATTCTTTCTCTTTTAACCCCACACCTCTTGCATTCACTTCTCTTACAAACTCCATCTATAAATATGTTGAACAACCATGGTGACATCACACATCCCTGTCTAAGGCCTACTTTTACTGGGAAATAATCCCCCTCTCGCCTACTCATTCTAACCTGAGCCTCACTATCCTAATATCATTTTTATTTTTTTTTCAACAAGTCGGCCATCTCCCACCAAGGCAGGGTGACCCAAGAAGAAAGAAAATTCCCAAAAAGAAAATACTTTTATCGTCATTCAACACTTTCACCTCACTCACACATAATCACTGTCTTTGCAGAGGTGCCCAGATACAACAGTTTAGAAGCATATGTAAAGATATAAAACATATCCCTCCAAACTGCCAATATCCCAAACCCCTCCTTTAACCCGTAAACGGTCCAAACGTATATATATGTTTTTTCAACATTTGAAAGTATGTAAAAAAAGTAGATCTTCTTTTTGTTTTACTACATTTGAAAATGTGTAAAAAACTTTGATCTACTTTTTTTTTTGTTATATTTGAAAATATGTAAACAAAACTTAGATCTACTTTTGTAGCACTACACATGTGAACGTAGATCTGCTTGGACTGTTTTCGGGTTAAAGTACAGGCATTGTACTTTTCATTTCCAGTACTTAAGTCCAGCTATATAAAAATAACCGGTTTCCCAGAATCCCTTCACTAAATATTACCCTGCTCACATGCCGACAGCTTGTCAGGTCTCAAAAACCATTCATCTCCATTCACTCCTATTTAACACGCTCACACATGCTTGCTGAAAGTCCAAGCCCCTCGCCCACAAAACCTCCTTTACCCCCTCCCTCCAACCTTTTCGAGAATGAACCCTACCCCGCCTTCCTTTCCCTACAAATTTATACACTCTCCAAGTCATTCTACTTTGATTCATTCTCTCTAAATGACCAAACCATCTCAACAACCTCTCTTCAGCCCTCTGATTAATACTTTCAGTAACCCCACACCAGTCGACTAACACCCAGGTACACATTTTATACTGATCGGTGAACAGGGATGGCAGGTGTCTTATGGAAACACGTCCCTAATGTTTTCCAGCGATACCGGAGATTCAAACTCCAGACCTCAGTGTGTGGAACAGCAGAAGGCTAATCTGTCTCTGGTTAATAAAATAGAAATCTGCCTTGCAAAATCGGAATAACACGATTGCTAACAAACAACAGAATGAGTGAGGTTTGAACCCATGACCTGGAGTTTTAGGTCTCACTTTGCCATGAGTTCAAAGCCCACCTGTTCCTTGGTTACAAATCTGTTTCTGGTTAAGAAAATAGAAAATTGACTATAAAAAAAATAGTATCTTGAAGTGTGAAATTATAATCATTATACTCTAAATCGTCTTTCAACAAACCAGCCATATCCTACTGAGGCAGGCTGGCCCAAAAAAGAAAAACAAAAGTTTCTCTATTTAAATTTAGTAATATATGCAGGGAAAGGGGTTACTAACCCCTTCCTCCTGGCATTTTAGTCGCCTCTTACGACTGCAAGAAGGCGTTTGACACAGTTCCACACAAGAGATTGGTGCAAAAACTGGAGGACCAAGCAGGGATAACAGGGTAGGCACTACAATGGATCAGGGAATACTTGTCAGGAAGACAGCAGCGAGTCATGGTACGTGGCGAGGTGTCAGAGTGGGCACCTGTGACCAGCGGGGTCCCACAGGGGTCAGTCCTAGGACCAGTGCTGTTTCTGGTATTTGTGAACGACGTGACGGAAGGAATAGACTCTGAGGTGTCCCTGTTTGCAGATGACGTGAAGTTGATGAGAAGAATTCACTCGATTCAAGACCAGGCAGAACTACAAAGGGATCTGGACAGGCTGCAGACCTGGTCCAGCAATTGGCTCCTGGAGTTCAATCCCACCAAGTGCAAAGTCATGAAGATTGGGGAAGGGTAAAGAAGACTGCAGACTGAGCACAGTCTAGGGGGCCAGAGACTACAAACCTCACTCAAGGAAAAAGATCTTGGGGTGAGTATAACACCAGGCACATCTCCTGAAGCGCACATCAATCAAATAACTGCTGCAGCATATGGGCGCCTAGCAAACCTCAGAACAGCATTCCGACATCTTAATAAGGAATCATTCAGGACCATGTACACCGTGTACGTTAGGCCCATATTGGAGTATGCGGCACCAGTTTGGAACCCACACCTAGCCAAGCACGTAAAGAAACTAGAGAAAGTGCAAAGGTTTGCAGCAAGACTAGTCCCAGAGCTAAGAGGTATGTCCTACGAGGAGTGGTTAAGGGAAATCAACCTGACGACACTGGAGGACAGGAGAGATAGGGGGGACATGATAACGACATACAAAATACTGAGAGGAATTGACAAGGTGGACAAAGACAGGATGTTCCAGAGATTGGACACAGTAACAAGGGGACACAGTTGGAAGTTGAAGACACAGATGAATCACAGGGATGTTAGGAAGTATTTCTTCAGCCACAGAGTAGGCAGTAAGTGGAATAGTTTGGGAAGCGATGTAGTGGAGGCAGGATCCATACATAGCTTTAAGCAGAGGTATGATAAAGCTCACGGTTCAGAGAGAGTGACCTAGTAGCGATCAGTGAAGAGGCGGGGCCAGGAGCTCGGACTCGACCCCCGCAACCTCAACTAGGTGAGTACATGGCTATACAGTAAATGTTGGAATTCAGTTTTAGTTGGCTCCCACTAAATGTTTTTTTAGTTAATTTTTTCTTCACATTTGGATGTTTAGCCCCCTCACACTGGTGTCAAATGCTAGGGTGTTCGGAAGAGGGGTGGGATTAAATTTTGGAGAATCAAATTCAGAATGGGAATTGACACAGTTACTTTTTGCTGATGATACTGTGCTTATGGGAGATTCTAAAGAAAAATTGCAAAGGTTAGTGGATGAGTTTGGGAATGTGTGTAAAGGTAGAAAGTTGAAAGTGAACATAGAAAAGAGTAAGGTGATGAGGGTATCAAATGATTTAGATAAAGAAAAATTGGATATCAAATTGGGGAGGAGGAGTATGGAAGAAGTGAATGTTTTCAGATACTTGGGAGTTGACGTGTCGGCGGATGGATTTTTGAAGGATGAGGTTAATCATAGAATTGATGAGGGAAAAAAGGTGAGTGGTGCATTGAGGTATATGTGGAGTCAAAAAACGTTATCTATGGAGGCAAAGAAGGGAATGTATGAAAGTATAGTAGTACCAACACTCTTATATGGGTGTGAAGCTTGGGTGGTAAATGCAGCAGCGAGGAGATGGTTGGAGGCAGTGGAGATGCCCTGTTTAAGGGCAATGTGTGGTGTAAATATTATGCAGAAAATTTGGAGTGTGGAAATTAGGAAAAGGTGTGGAGTTACTAAAAGTATTAGTCAGAGGGCAGAAGAGGGGTTGTTGAGGTGGTTTGGTCATTTAGAGGGAATGGATCAAAGTAGAATGACATGGAAAGCATATAAATCTATAGGGGAAGGAAGGCGAGGTAGGGGTCGTCCTTGAAAGGGTTGGAGAGAGGGGGGTAAAGGAGGTTTTGTGGGCGAGGGGCTTGGACTTCCAGCAAGCGTGAGTGAGCGTGTTAGATAGGAGTGAATGGAGACGAATGGTACTTGGGACCTGACGATCTGTTGGAGTGTGAGCAGGGCAATATTTAGTGAAGGGATTCAGGGAAACCGGTTATTTTCATATAGTCGGACTTGAGTCCTGGAAATGGGAAGTACAATGCCTGCACTTTAAAGGAGGGGTTTGGGATATTGGCAGTTTGGAGGGATATGTTGTGTATCTTTATACGTATATGCTTCTAAACTGTTGTATTCTGAGCACCTCTGCAAAAACAGTGATAATGTGTGAGTGTGGTGAAAGTGTTGAATGATGATGAAAGTATTTTCTTTTTGGGGATTTTCTTTCTTTTTTGGGTCATCCTGCCTCGGTGGGAGACGGCCGACTTGTTGAAAAAAAAAAAATTGTTAAATTGTAGGATGAAAATGTAATATCTAATATTTTGTGATTGAGAGAACTAAATGTATTGTAAGGTACCAGTTCTAATTTCTGTTACTACATGTATGTATTTGATATATATTGAGCTTGCTTTTAAGACATGTACAATGTAAGCTTGAGCAGATAGCTAAATGTGTTAAGGGTCCATTAAGAAGACACTTGAAAACTGTTTATCTATAATGTTCATATTCAGTTAAGGTTAGCAGTAAAAACTTAAATTCTTGTATATTTTTTTCCTTAGGGTATCAACTTCTACACCCAACTCAAGACTGTGACACAGATGTGGAGAGAAGCTGATGTTACCTCCACTCGGCCTGCTACAGCAATGCCTGTTATGCGCTGAGTTTCTTGCCACCACATTTAGAGAATACTCTGCACATTTTTGGTATTGTCACTTGGTGATAGACCACTAGCATGAGTTGTAGGTATTTCTATGTTTGTAATTGTTTTGCAATGACCAATTCACCAGTAAAATACATGAGCAGTTTTTTAATATCTTATTGCATGCATTCCATATGTACTGTATTTGAAGTACAGTGATACCTCTCATATCCAAACTATGTAGGCTGAGACCAGTTCAGAAACATGGAGTTTCTGGATACGCGAGGAGGAAAAATGCACACCCGTACCATCATATCACCATCGGCAATGGCATTGTAGGTTTAAAAAACGAGTCCAACATCGTCTGGCTGTGGGACCAGACACACTGGGCTTTAATAACAGCCTCCCAGATTTCTGCAACCATTTTAAGTTCAGTGCCACAAACCATCATACTACTACCACGTTGTTGTAGGTACCACTTCATCACACACTGATCGAATTCCAAGCTCTGGCTTCACCATCACTTTTCTTTCGGCACTTTTTCCAGTTTTTCAGGTGGCAGAAAACATCCGAACGGCTGTTTGGATGTTTCAGTAATAATTTTAGAATTTTGCACTTTCCCAGGGCCTGTTCGGATAATGGCAGGCCGGGTGTGCGAGGTAACACTGTACTGTGATTGATGAATACTTTCATTGAAAAAAATCATGCATCTGCCAAAGAAAGATATTTTATTCATTGGTGAAAGAAATTGAGTAAGCCTCATTTGAAAACAAGCACACATTTTAACATTTTATACTTGTTATCTTATCTCCTGTATACTTAACACATACCCTGGTAAATATAGTAACTATATAGCTGAACTGTATTAGTAGTGTTATTTTAAGTTAAAATAAATATGCTTGAAATTAACCATGATCTTGAGACCATTCTTAGATTTGAGTTTATCTGTTCAAGGCTTACGTGTTTGAGCAATAGAAGTGATGTGGTGATGCTGGATGATGCAGGGTTGTAAATTTCTTTCACTTGTAAGGTAAAGTGAGTGATTGCTGAACAGCTAAGAAATATATAACTGTTAATTCCTTCCGGAGGTTGAGTTTAGATTAAAAAATTCTGCCAGGGAAGGGCTTTGGGATTATGGCAACATCATGATGTAAGCAGTAATGTAGTCCTAGAAAGTGAGTTCCTGTTGGTGTGAGTTCAAGTGTGATGTGAAGGCTTTTTTTTTTTTTATTAAGCTGGTTCAGGTTGTACAGACTATTAACTAATAGTAAACTGCCATTGCTTTAACTAAGGTATACTGCCATTGCCTTAAAATGTGACCCACAATACTTGACCAACTTGTGGGAACCCATTTGTTGCTGGGTGAACAGGAGTGATTAAAGAAGTGACTGAAGGACTGATCTGAGGTCCTTTGGTTGTGGACTGAGCTACAACTTAAACCTCAGTGACTTCATGGGCCACATGTATAAATATTTCTTTGGGTAGTTGCAGGCCCATTTGGCTTGCAGTTATTAGTATGATTGTGTTTAACATTGCTAAAAATTCTAAGTGACTTCTTTAGGTCATAGTGCTTTGTTAATTTTACATACTTTCCTTACCTCATTGCCAAAACTGTCCCTTCAAGACGATGCCTTAATGCCTTGGGCTCTTTATCCCAAAAATTAGGCCTACCCTACCCTTAGATCAAACTTTATTATCTTCCATTCTCTAGGCGTTGAATGATCCCTGTGGGTTTAGCATCTCCCTATGAATATAATACTAATTAGCCAATGTTCTGACACAATGAATATCATGTAGGGCTGTAACACCTCCAGAGCCCAGTGTGAATGCCACAAGCACTCTTGTGAACCTGTTAAGTCCGAGTTCAGGTGTGTGTTTTTCTGAGATGCTGTTGAGTGGTGTTTTCTTCGCCAGGAAACCAGGCACTCTCTCCTGGCACAGGTCATTACCGAATGATGACCCATTCAGTTGTTAAGCATCCACAGGCCTACCAGAGCTAGACTCTTGCAATCCATTTAAAAAAACAAAGGATCACCTCAAATGTTAGGTGGTTCCAGACAGAAGATGCACTATTGGGATTTTTACATAGTAATACTTACGGAGGGATTGAAGAAAATGGATTTAGTGAACTTTTATTTTGGAGGTGGGGAACCACATTGTATGTTGAAAGTCAAATTAGTATGTTGTGCAGAGGCAACACCAGGATTTTACTGGGGGGTTATGGAGTGATAGCGCACAGAATGAGGTCCACGGGCATTACGGGGAAGGTAGGCAGATGGATTTTCGGGTTCCTAACACACAGAACACAAAAAGTAGTAGGGAACAGGGCAAGATCCAGCATCAGTGAGGTCAAAAGCTAAATGCTCTAAGACACTCTCCTGGCACCTCTGCTGTTTCTTATTCTCATAGCAAATATAGATAAAAACACCCGGCACACTTTTGTATCATCATTTGCAGATAACACTAAAATAAGCATGAAAGTCGCTACGGTAGAGGACACTGAAAAGGTACAGGAAGACATAAGCAGGGTTTTCCAGTGGGAAGTGGAGAACAGCATGGTATTCAATGGTGATAAGTTCCAGCTGCTTAGGTATGGAAAGTCTGAAGAACTCAAAAGAAACACTACAGTGGACCCTCCCTTTTTGTCGATCTTCATTATCGCCGATTTCCATTTTCTTTGACTTTTTCGTCGATATTTTGGTTCCGTTTTTGTCAATTTCCTCCATTTTCGTCGATCATATGGAACCTGTCCAGTGCCCATCGTGCAGACAAAGTTGCCTCCCACACGCATTCTCAAGCTATGTTGCGTTGTGTCTCGGTGAGTGAGCATATCCTGCCAGGTCATACGAAACATTTCATAATAATCCATTTTTTTGGCACTTGTTTATTGTCTGTGACTGCTAAATAAGCCACCATGGCCCCAAAGAAAGCTCCTAGTGCCAGTTCTTTGGTAAGGAAAGTGAGGAACACCGTAGAAATGAAAAAAGAAATCTTTCAAAAATATGACAGTGGCATACGCATTGCTGAACTCAGCAGGCTGTACGAGAAGGCGTCATCAACGATCAGCTCCATTGGGGCAAAGAGAAAAAAATCATGGAAGCTGATGTTATGAAAAGGGTGAATGCAAAAACCAAACAGAGATCAAAAACAATTGAAGTGGAGAAATTGTTGTTGGTGTGGCTCAGAGAGAAAGAGTTAGCAGATTTTGTTGTACAGTCCATAATTTGTGAAAAGCAAGGCAGTTGCATGGCTATCTCATAAAGAATCTGCCTGAAATGAGTGCTGATGTTGATGAATTTAAGGCCAGCAAAGGCTGGTTTGAAAAATTCAAGAAGCGCAGTGGCGTACAAAGTGTTGTAAGGCATGGTGAAGGTGCCAGTTCTGATAAGCGGCTGAAAAATTTGTGCGGGAATTCTGAGGTTATGTAGAGGCTGAAAAATACCAACCCCAACAAGTGTTTTGGAAGAAAATGCCAAAGAGGACCTACATCACACAGGAGGAAACGGCACTCCTAAGACACAAGCCTATGAAAGACAGGCTCTCTTGTTATGTGGTAATGTTAGTTGGAATTTCAAAGTGAAGCCTTTACTCGTGTATCACTCTGAAAATCCCAGAGTGTTCAAGAAAAACAATGTTGCCAAGAGTAAATTGTGTGTGTTGAAGACTAACAGTAGGGCATGGGTCACTAGGGAAATTTTCCTGGGATGGTTCAATGAAGTGTTTGGCCCGAATGTGAAGAAATACCTCCTGGATAATAAATGCCACTCAAGTGCCTCCTGCTAATGGACAATGCTCCTGCTCATCATCCAGACTAGGAAGACCAATTGTCTAAGGAACTCAGTTTTGTAATGGTGAAGTTCTTGCTTCCTAACACCACTCCTCTCATCCAGCCCATTGACCAGCAGATCATTGCAAACTTCAAAAAACTACACACCAAAGCAGTGTTTCAAAGGTGCTTTAACATAACCCTAAGACCCAAAGAGAGCTCTGGAAGAATCACTTCAATATCTTCCACTGCATAAGCCTTATAGATAAGGCTTGGCAGGGAGTGACTTCCAGGACGATGAACTCTGCTTGGGAAAAATTGTGGCCAGATTGTGTCCAAAGGAAGGATTTTGAAGGGTTTGAGGCTGACCCTGTTGACCCTACACCTGTTGTGCAATCAATTGTGGCATTGGGGAATTCCATGGGGCTGGATGTGAGTGGTGAGGATGTGGAAGAGTTGGTGGAGGGCCACAATGAAGAGCTAACCACTGATGAGCTGAAAGAGCTTTATCTGCAACAGCAACAGACCACAGCTCAGGAAATTGCTTCAGAGGAGGAGGAAGAGAGATGGAGGAAGGTGCTTTCTTCAAAGATAAAGGAGATTTGTGTAATGTGAACTAAAGTGCATTCATTTGTGAAGGACCATCACCCTGAGAAAGCTGTTGCAATCCATGTTGGCAACTTTTATAATGACAATGCCATGTCCCATTTTAGGCAAATATTAAAGAGATGCCAGAAACAGACCTAGACCAATTTTTTGTGCAACAGGGGTCCAGTGACTCTCAAGCTGGTCCTAGTGGCATTGAAAAAACAGGAAAGTGACCCCAGAGTCCTTATGGAGGGGATTCCCCTTCCAAAGAATAACCTCTTCCTTCTTCCCTCTCCCCTCTTCCCTGTCTTCTATCCTTCAACAACAGTTATCAATAAAGGTAAGTGTCATGTTGAATGTTCATTCTTTTGTGCGTGTAAATATATCTTTAAGGTAAAAAAAAATTTTTGTTAATACTTCTGGGCATCTGGAATGGATTAATTGGATTTACGTACATTATTTCTTATGGGGAAAATGGTTTCCGTTTTTGCTGATTTCAGTTTTCGCCGATCGCTCTGGAACAGATTAAACACGAAAACCGAGGGTCCACTGTATATACAAAACTCAAGAGTCACCAAATAGAAAAACAGAATTTCTATCAAAGAATATGAAGAATTACATAAAATTGTATCAATATATAATTTGCCATCAAATTAATGACCTTATTAATGTAATGCTATTCAGGCAGATGATGATGATAATAAAATAAAATTAAGCACTAAACCCAAAAGGGTAGTTATAGAGGAGCATAATTCATTCTAATCTCAACTGAGAGACTCGGGGTAACAGAAAAGTTATAGCAGTGTGACTTT